AATCTAAGCCATTCTGTTACAATTATTTATATAACTGCTCATTCACAGACATTTGTTGCTGTAAATTAATAAGGTAAACAAACGGTTATGTAAATATAATTTATAAAGATACGAAATGTAATTGCCCGGCTTCACCTGGGATAGTGAAAGAAAGTTTTATTCTCCCTTCCTCTACCTCATCTTGGTCTCCACCGTTGCCCTGTATGTAGGCCGTGTGGAAATAGGGGTCTAACTAAAACCCTGCATTTAATATCCGTCTTTGAGCTCATCTTTGTCTCCACTGCTGCCATAGTTATTGCCTCTAAGTGCACCAGAGGCATCTCCTGTAATACTAACACCAGTATTTAACAATCTGGGAGACAGACAAATGAATAGTTTCAGGAAAATTTAGATGTGTGGTTTCAAGGAAGAAAACGGTGAAATATAATTTTGAGTAAAACATCCTTTCAAGGGAGGTAATTTGACACATTTAAAGTGATATATTTCTAGCAAAAGTTTACTTTTACTGATTGTCACAATAAATAAAGAAATTCACAGTGGCCTGTGCCACCAATGTAACTGTTAAGTTAAACATTTTAGTCATAATGGCAAATGAAAATTTAACCTATGTATTGGTCATGGTTTGGGAGGAGTTAACACTTCATGTATTATAAACACATGAAATACAGAAAGGGTTTGTGATTTATAGTATAGATGAAGAAATCAGTAAAAGCATGGATAGACCAACCACATTCTTAGAATGTTAGGCTGTCACATGGAAGACCTAGTGAGTATACTAACTTGTGTACTGCCAAATCCTTACACTGCTGTATCCATGCACCAGTGGCTGCAGACTACTTTGACATTGCTTTCCAGAAAACTACAAAGACATTCTGATGCCTAGTTTCATGAGTTTGTATGAACCCCAGAACTTAAAGGTCAGAAAAACAAATTCCCACCAAGTTTGTATTAGCGCTCACATCATTGCCAGTTGATTGGTTTATTTACAGATGACCTGAAACAGAAGCTCCATCAGTTTTCCTACCCTCCTCCTCTTATTGCTGGTATGGTCAACTGTGTGTCTAAGGTAATTAGCAATATGCTTGTTGTCTCTTTGTCTCTTTTATTCTCTCTCTTCCCCCTCCTTTCATTGCTGGTATGGTCAATTGGGTGTCTACTGTAATTAGCAATATGCTTGTTCTCTCTTTATCTCTCTCATTTTCTCTCTCTCTCTCTTCCCCCCTCTCTCTTTTCTTGCTCCGTCCTTTCTGTTTCTCACTTTCCTCTTAATCACCCTCAACTGAAATCTTTTTTTCCCCCTCTCCTACACGCACATTCAAATTGCACAGAAGCTGCTCAACGTAGATACTGGTGCATTTAAAGTTCAGTGGTGCTTTGCTGGCTTCCTTAAATAAGCAAGTTTTCAGTTTTTGTTTTTAAATATTGTTTAATAATATTTAGTGCTAGCTGAACCCGGCCACGCGTTGCTGTGTTGCTGTGGCCCAGAATAGTGCACTGGAAAAGAAAGAAAATAGCGCACGTGTCTGATATGGTTAATATCAGTCATTGCACAGATACAGAGATAGTCTTATATGCCGACTCTAGAACACGCAACATATAAGTGAATGTTTATATTAGTGGTCAATTAAAGTGCATTGTTAGAGTGAAAGAAAAAGATTACTTGTTTATCGCAGGCTAAAGCGTCTTTTGTGCTTAAACAGCTGAAAGTAAAGCTGACTACTATATCTCTAAATGATCAGCAAACTGGGGGGGGGGGGGAGGATATGAGAATAGCAGAGAAAGCGGTATTACAATATAAATATTTAAGGAATGAGAACTTTGAAATAAAGTTTTAAGCTCTCTCAGCTAACAGTGTATGTCATCCCTCCTCCCAGTCATATCTTCCTCTCCAAATCCGTCATTAAAAAAAAAAAAAGTACGCTATACTCACAAAAGGGGGGGGGGGGCATCTCTCCCTCTCTGGAGGGACGATGGAAGGCTAATTGGGACTTTACTGAAATCGGATGAACACCGGTCACCCGCGTGAAGCGCGGATTACTTAAAACTGCACTACCAAAGACTCAAAAAATTTAGTAGAAATAAAATAATATAATAATGCGAAGTTCGGTGTTACACACACAGTCAAAGGTAGCCAATCAACTAAAAACAAATCTGGGCCGGCAACAGACAATGAAATGATCATTGCTGGAGCTAGGGCGTTAATGGTTTGTGCAACTCTCATACATACAAACACGCATTGTATGAGCATTTTAAAGCGATTGGTGAAGAAATGTTGGAAATTATACATAATGACCACGGAAAATTAACATTTTTATTATATAGATATTTTGGTAATAATGTTAATTTGTTTAATAAAATAAACAAAATGTTTAAATAATCTTAATCTGCCTAATAACATTAATGTGTTGTGTTTTTGTGTGTGTGTAGTAGTAGTAGTAGTAATATATTTGGTTGGTAAGAATGAAAACATCTGGAGATAATTTTTTAAGAGATGTCTAAGAATTGTCTTAGAGGTCCACACCGGGTTTAGTCCATCACTGCCGAGACCATTCTGCCTTATAAGTCATGATGATGTGTAGATAGGATTGTGACTGTTGGACCTTGTCTGTTGTTGTTTAGCTTCATGGTTGTATGGAGCTGGAGTCATCACGCCGACAGATGCAGGCCTGGGGTGAGGAGCTGATGGCAGACTGTGACAGATACATCTCTAATGTTGTGCTCAATGCTCAGAGTGGTGAGTCCCTGTCTGCAGTTCAGTGATCCTGACTCTTTCAGTACCCAGCCACTCATCGTATGTTCCTTAAATAATCTACATTTTCTGAACACCTTGAAGTACAAACCTCATATTATGTGAACCCATTCTGTCCTGTTACTTTAATTTACATCTGATTCACATTAAATTGTTGTTTGTTTGTTAGCACATTCCATCTTTCCACAAAACCTGGGCACATAATTTGAAACCTGAGACAATGAAGGGACCACACAAAAATAAAGATCATGCCTTTAGCTGGAAAGGTCATGATTACTGTCTTTTGAGACACAGAAGGTGTGGATGTTATGCCAAGAGGAGAGACAATTAGTTTGCAAGCTTACATTTAAGACACTGAAGAGGAAAAACTAGTCTATGTTTTCACAGAATTCTGCTACACAAGAATCCAGCAGGCCTGCTTCTCCTTGATGAAATTGTGCACCCTCACAGACGTGGGGCAGCACAAAGCAGTCACCAAACTGGGTTGGACTGTACTATCCTGACTGCCCTGTAGTCAGGATCTGGTACCCTTTGATTGTCATCTAAATGGAGATGCCTTCCATGGAACAAGGTTTGATGATAATGATGAAGCAGTGATTATGCAGCACAGAAATGATCAAGACATAATCTGATACGGGCTAGGAATACCAGCACTTGTTCTGCGTAAAGCCGTACCATACTTTTTGAATACACGTCTAAGAAAAAGATGTGGTGACTGACTTCCTTAAAGCCCCTCGTATATTGATTCACTGCTTTTTGTTAAGAGAAGTGCTGATGCAAAAAGAGGGCAAGCAACTAAGATGTATCCCATGATACAAAGGTTCTGTTTCTGACCGCTGAACAAGCAAACTTTATTTTCAGACGGCTGCAAATTGGGCCTGCAGCCCGTAGAAAATGGCCAGGTTGATCCAGAATCCGTCCAGGGAAGCTCAGAGAGTGGTGGTTAGGTTTCTTTCATTGAAAGTTAAAAGATATGAACCTGTGGACGGTGATTAAAGAATGCAAGCATTGTAAAGTCAGAAATGTGTGTCAAACACAGCAGTTACAAACTGGGCATTCATGTTTTGAACGTGAGTTCACAACAGCTCTTCCATGGCCGGGTCAAGTGCAACAGAAAATCATCTCTACAACTGATGCAGCAATAAAGGGGTACCATTGTCAAAGAATATGTTGGTTAATTATTTCTGCTACGTCTTTCTGCTACGGGACACCATTTTTTTCCATTATTTGAAAGCCTCACCCTGAGGCCTCTCCGCATGGTGATCATCATCCACATGGTGGCACTTTGTGTCACCGGGTGTTTATCACTTGTGTGACGCCTGGTGGGGTTGAATCTCATTCATTCATTCGTACAAAGTTTGTTCACTAGCACACAAATTTGATGTGTCACTTGGGACAGTTCAGAAGGTTGTTCTTATGAAACTGCGGTATCGTTAGGTGGGTTAGTAGTGGGTAGCATAATGAATGTGGTGTATACAGTTGGTTTAGTGAGCAACCACAATCCTTTTTTTTTTTTCTTTTTGCAGATAGCATTTATTATGGTGTATCATTTAATTTATCAGCAGATCATGTGGATGAAGAAGAGCTGATTCGATACATGTTCACCCTTGGAGAGGTGTGTCAGCGCTGCCCAACAAGGATGCCCAAACGAGCAGCTTTACTTGTGCAGTCAATTGTGGCTGCACCTTGTATTGGTTCTATAGGTAATCATTAGGAGCCATTGATTAGATGACATTTTCAGAGCATGCAATCTGTAGGATACTTTGAAATATCTTTAAGACTTCTCTTTCTTTAACTGAGAAATCTGGGGGGAAAACTGAGAAAAACTATTTCTGGGAAGAACATGATAATTAAATTTGTGAAGCGATCTGCTGAAGGAGATAACGGGCAGCATGTCGGTGGATAGCATGACAAGATGGCCTAAGAGAATGTTTCAACACTTTAATGCACTGTCACACTGTCTTGAATTTGCCTGGCACTTCAATGTTAAGAGTTAATGTTGTAGCCAATGTGCACTTGGAACAATGTCTCAGGGATGATCTGCACAGTTATGAGATTCTGTAATAGGGCTTTCATTAGTGAACAAATTTAATCAGTTCAAAGACATGATAATTGCTCTATTTCTGTAGAATTTACACAAATTGTGATTTAGATAGTCAGAGTTGTAAAAGGAAAATATTTAAACTGTAATGCATGTCTTATCTAGTTTTCTTTGATTCTGTTAAATTATTTTCATCAATATTTGTGATAGGCAGTGCTGGTGACAATGATGCTTATCAGAAAGCTGGTGATAGAGATGGCCAGTCAAACCACACGGAAGGATCAAACAACTCCCAAGCCAGCCAACCTGGCACAAAGGAGGGATCACATGATTCACAAGATGGCGAGAGTCAGCCCGACCTACAGAGCAGCCAGTCTTCCCAGACGGTGATTTCATCTCAGGCTTCCCAACCACTGTCCCAGTTCCGTGGCTCTAGCATGTCCAGCAAATTACGGGCCCATGCTTTCATAACTTTGGGTGAGAGCTGCTGTCAGTTGTGGTCTGTCTTTGTTCTCATTTTTAGAAATGACTGTTGCTTAGGGGGTTACAAACATGCTTTGTAAATTCAAAATATCTGGTTTAGTTCAGCTGCAAGTGATTTGACGGCAGACTTCTCTATGCTGAGTAGTATGGCAATGGTGTGGAGACCCGACCATTCAGTAAGCTATGGCAAACTACTGATCGTCAAATTCCCTATGCTAGGGTTGGTTTGCTAGGTCCTGTAACGGATGCGCACTTGACTGTTCATTTGTTCGGTGTGGCTTGGAGGTTAATGAGCGGGTTTCACAATTCTCAAATATTGAGGTTGAGTTATCACAACAGCAGGTTTGTCAAAGATTGTTCTTGTGGCTTTCAGACTGGTCTAATTCTAAAAGAGAGGTGCACCATGGAAGAGATTAGTTCCTTAACCACAAAACATTTCCAAAGACAACAGTGAACGCACATATTCACTGCATCCAGCTTTCAGTTGGGACACAGCACACAAATTAAATTTAAATTATAAGGCAAAATTGTAAAAACTTATAAAATCATTAGTAAAGACCATTTGTCAGCAATTTAAAGTATGGAAGATATGAGGCTACATGCTGTATTTTCATAGACATCATTGGTATCCAATATTTGATTACAAGTGAGTTCTGTTTGTCCAATGTTTGGTTGCAGGTAAGTTATGTCTGGTGGATGGATCTCTGGCTAAAAAGACAATTGCAGCAATGGCAAGAGAGCTTGAGGAGTCAGACTGTCCAGCAGTCAGAAATAATGTTGTAATTATTATGGGAGATCTGACTATTAGGTGGGTTTGCAATGTTCTACAGTATTGTTGTTTTATTTAGTGTTTAGTGCTGTAGGAACTGCAGATCTGTTTCTCCTTCTTCTTTGTTCACCGGCTGAAAGCTCCAGAGGAAAGTCTTGTTTGTCCATTTCAGCTTTGGCTCTGTGTCAGGGCCTGAGTTTTGTATGTACATCCGCTTTACCGGCTTATTTGTATGCAGTTGGTTGTTCCTTGCTGCTCGGGCAGATGCACTTCAAAAGAAGTCCCCAATTGGTTGATTCCTATGACATGCTTGTTGGGGAGGCAGTGGGTCTATTCTTGTTCCCCCCCCCCCCCCCCCCCCCCCCCCCCCCCACCCACAGTGAGACCACAGAATCCACACAGGGAGCAGATATGTTTTATACTTATTTTATTTACTGCCGTCACATTGTCTAAAATAATGGTGATCTATCTGAGTAAGCAGTCTGATCTTGTTAGTCAAAGTGTAATAAAGTAAAATGTTTATATGTGTGGCGTTTCATTTAAATTCCTTAACTTCATCAAACCACAAAACTTTCAAAAGCAGACAGAAATATTTGTGACTTGCAACTCAAACATGTAGAGAGTTAATGTCCCCTGGTGTCTACAATTGTTGGTTGGTGCTTCTGTGCCATATTGTGTCAGAAAGATTTGCTTCCAGGTGAATCATTTTCCATATTATCTTACATTGAACAACACCCTCTGTCTCTCTCCATCTTCTCTCTCCCCTTCTTTCTTTCTGTCCTCTTGTCCTGTCTTTATTTCTCAGTCTCGATGTAGGTTGTGAGTGCAGGGACTGGCCAACTGGTGCTTGCACAACCAGAGGTTCAACAAATGATTTATGATAATCTCCGCCCAGGAGATGTGATTATCTATACAGATGGCTCTATATTAAGGGTCAGACGAAGTGCTAAAGCAAATGGACATCGCTTAGTGCAACAAAGTCTGGCATTTGTTATCACAATGTCTAGTTTGAGAATGGAGGTGCAGGCAGTCACTGCTGCCTTCCACTGGCTTGAGAATTGCTGTACACACATGCTGTGGTTGTAACTGACTCATAGAGCATGTTGAGAAAGGTGGAGACAGGCATGCTCCATGCAGAGTGGCAAGCATGACTTCAAAGGTCCCGGGTAGCGTCCTTAGAATTTTTTCTTCAGGTCATGCTAGTGTGTTGGGAAAGGAGCAGGCAGATAGACTGGCTGGTTCTGCACCACTTGGTTGTGAACTGATGTATGATTAGCTAGATGTTGTAAGGGCCCTTGGGAGGGAGTGAACAGTGAGGAGGCACAAATAGATCATTACGGTCTGAGGAGAATGGCACTGCAGGGAGTTACCAGGGGATCTGCCCGGCGCTCAACACTCAGGGGAAGGACGAGACGGATATACACTCAGACAGTTACTGGTACCATCAGAGCGTTTATGGTCGTGTCGATAGTGCTGTGAGGCTGATTCTACATTCAAGATTCAACTTATTTCTCGACCTTTCTCTCTTTTCCCTGTCTTTTTTTTTTTTTTTTTTTATCCTTCTCCTTGGGTTTTTTTTTTTTTTATCCTTCTCCTTGGGTTGTGTTTTTTTTTTTTTTTTTTTTTAAATATCTTTTTCCATCTTTCTCTTTTTTTTCCTGTCTATCATTCTCTTTCTTCCTCTTCCTCTTTCTCTGCCACTAGTCTTTATCTTACTCCGCCTTTTTTTCTCTTTCCCGAAGTATTTAATTTTCTCCATCTGTAATTCAGTGTTTCTGTCTCTCTTTCTCTATCTCTGTCTTTCTCTATCTCTGTCTTTCTGTATCTCTCTTTCTCTCAATATCCCTTTGACACACACACACAGACACACACATTGTAACTCTTGTCAGCTTTGTTGGTCTTTCATGGAGCAGCTCTTGTAGCTTTATGTTTTCTGTCTCTTAGAAAGGAATCTTGGTGTGCTTCTTCTCTTTTTTATTTTCAGAAATAGTAGTCTTTAAATTTCTTCTGTGTTAAATGGCATTCTGTGTTTTGTTCACATTCATTTTGTCCACATTCATTTTGTCCACATTCATTTTGATTCTGCCGTCACCGTGCAGGTACACAACCCTGGTGGATCGCTACGTGACCAATATTGCAGCCTGCCTAAAAGATCCTTCTCCTCTAGTGAGAAAGAACACATTGACAATTTTGTCACGACTCCTTCAGGTATGTGATTCACATAGATAACCAACCATCTTCTTACTGTGGCTTGGGAAAATTATAATTGTCCTGGTGTGGGTTTCAGGGCCAACCTGTCTACCATAAGTGAATGTAAAATGTTAGTAGTCAATATAGACACTTGTTTCTGTACTGGGGTGTATGCTTGACCTAGCTACATATTATAATTTTCTTTCTTAAAGGGCTAATTCCAGGATTTTTATAAACTTGGCTACATGTTTTTTTTTTTTAATTGACCTGGCTGCATGTTTTTTTTTTTTTTTTATTGACCTGGCTGCATGTTTTTGTAGACATATGGGCGTTCAATAAGTAGAAAATGTTTAACGTTTATCATGATTATCACAGAAATGTAAAATAATAATGAAACAGTTTTCTGTAGATAAACCTGGTGTAACTTTTAATACAACCCGGCTGTGTCCTTTAAGTGATAAGAATATCCTCTACAGGATGTCAAATACTTCAGCATGATGGATGTTTATGGTTTAACTTGACAAATTTACACACATTAGTTTGCCATTGCTCTCTGAACTGTCAATGCTTAATACCATTGTTGAAATAAATGCAGTGTTTTGCTGCCAAATCGCCCGCAGCTGAATCCAATACTGGGTATTTCAAAACTATGGACTGTGTTCATAGCTCTTAAGCCACAGAGGCCGGCTGTCTCTTTATATACCTAAATACTTTGATTGTCTGACTTCTGATCTCATTCACTGTTTGCTTTCCCCCCTTGATAATCCAATGCTCCTTTTGTTTTTCTTATCTTACCTGTAAGTTCACCTGTTTGTTGACATAACACAATATTGAAAGCCTCAGTATTCTCCCTTTACAGTCTTTATTTATTTCTAATGTTTCTGCGTGAACAATCTTTTGTATTCCCACCTTTACAGGGCAGTTAACAGAACATTTTGTGCAATAAATCCGTGCAATTGGAGATTAGAAAAAAGCATGCTATTTAAAGCCAGTTTTGACATATGACTGAATCCTGGACATTGATTCAAAAACTGACATCACAGCACTCGGGGCATTCCCATAAGCGCTCCATCTTCAGCAGCCAGTGAAGAGTTTCGATACTAATGGTGCCAGTAGCATTCTGATTAAACATCTGTCTTGCCTGTCCTCTGAACCTCCAGCATCTGTCAGAACCTCTCGTCACTCCCCGATGCATCAATCTCATCAGACTGGTGATCCATCTGCTCTGCCGAACTTAACATGCTCTCCCACAAGTCTGCCTTATCATGCATCAGTATTCCACCAAGTTGTGCAGAGCCAGCTAGTCTGTCCGCCTGTTCATTTTCCAACACACCAGCATTTCCCGGTTAAAAAAATCAAGACAGTACTCCTCACCTGTGTCCTCTGCACTGAAGCATGCCCATCTGTGTGAAGCCGAAGGGAGTCCTCGAACCCACACAGGAAACATGCAATAAAAAGTCTCACCCTCATATCTACACACAGAAATTATCAGTTAAAGTCGTGGACGACATACTGTCTGCATGCGGCAGTGAAGAATGTATGTGGCTGAACAGTTAAGAAGGCTGGGCTCTCATTCATAAGACCTTGGTTTAAATCTTCAGTAAAGAGGTGGATTTTTCCTGCGTGGTCAGTGGTGACTGCGCTCGCCCTGTGACTTTAGGCTCAAGGACCCCACCTCAGACTGCTCTGAGAAGTCATAAATAGAGGCAGTAATGACAGTGTGTGCTCTAGGACCTTGTGATTTCAGTTAATAATTGTGATTTGCTTAGATATGAAAATCTGTTGCACATCATTGACTTTTATTTAGGCTACTGCTATTCTCTTGTTATTAGTTCCTGACACTTGCTGTATCATCAGCCCTAGACAAGAATGAACTGTGTATTTGTTTATGTGTGTTGTCATTCACTGTGTGAACTGCTGTAAGAATACTAACTTTCCTTTTATTCCTATTACAGGAAGAGTATGTGAAATGGAAGGGTGTTCTGTTTTTCCGCTACATAACCACCATTTTAGATGAGGCTTTAGAAATAAAAAGCTTAGGTGAGTGTTTGTTTTTTTTCTTTGGAGTGTCATCACATTTAAGGGAATTATTCACTGGTTTGGTTGACAAACACCAGCCTGACTTTTTTCTCTGATGGCTGCTACTTAAAGGTTTGAAGCCCTGACATTACCTACCCTCTAATGACCAAATCCCAGATAACTCGTTCAGCCCCCAAAGAGGTTATAACTGAGGGGCTCTACTAGCTTCACCCGCCAGTTCAACTGGGTAAAAATGTTGGGTGATTGTGCCGTCTCAGGGTGTTGCGTGATTGTGCCCTCTCAAGATGTTGGGTGATTGTGCCCTCTCAGAGTGTTGGGTGATTGTGCCCTCTCAGGATGTTGGGTAATTGTGCCCTCTCAGGGTGTTGGGTGATTGTGCCCTCTCAGGGTGTTGTGTGATTGTGCCCTCTCAGGATGTTGGGTGATTGTGCCCTCTCAGGGTGTTGGGTGATTGTGCCCTCTCAGGATGTTGGGTGATTGTGCCCTCTCAGGGTGTTAGGTGATTGTGCCCTCTCAGGATGTTGGGTGATTGTGCCCTCTCAGGATGTTAAGTGATTGTGCCTTCTCAGGATGATGATCTTTTGTATTGTTCATCATTTCATGGCCTGGCCTGTTTCCAAAATGTGCTGCAAGATAGTCACGATTTCTTGAACTTTTAATAAGGCAAAATACATTTGAAACTTTAGCGAAAACTGGCAATGTTACTAGAATGTTATTACCATGATTCTGGTAAACATGGGAAATGGTGAATCATGGTTTCATAATGACATGGCACATAATCATGATACACCAAATGCCAGTATGTACTCAGGGCCGCATTGTCTTCTGTTTTTCTTTTAAAGTAACTTTTAAATTATATTTTAGTTTTCTCTCTTCCATGAAATAACTGTTTCCTTCTATATATGCCTGTCTTTATTTCTACCAGAATATTTTATTCACTTAGTTTGGTGTTTTACTGGAAATTTTAACAGCTTTCTGTGGAGCTGTGACTCAAGAGATCTTAATATTTGTTACTAATTATCCAGTTCTTAATTTGTATTTGCCTTCTCCTTTCACCACTTACTTACATAATCAATTTAGGAATTTTGTGTGTTTGTGTGTGTTATAAGATTTTAGTGAAATTTTGTTCTGTCCTAACTTACTTTACTTTTTCCTTCCACGTATGCCGCTAAGCGTTGTGGGGAGATGCAAGTTCCTGTCATAAGCAAGGCGGGCAGCATCTGATGTTCTGAGGCCATGCTTTTGGCAGGTTTTGGAGACCCCGTCAATCCACCGTTTCCTTGGTCTTCCTCTTGCCTTATATCCTGAGCTTCTTTGGTTGAAAATTTGTGATGTTATTTGATCATTTTTCATCCTGGTTAGATGTCCAAACCATTTCATTCTTTGATGTTCTATGTAGTCTAAACATGGCGTAGTTTTGACAGTGTTTCTAATGTCTATATTCTTTATCCTGTCTAGTCTGGTCTTATTCGCTGCTTTTCTTAGACATTTCATTTCACAGGCTTCTATTTTTCTTTCATGGGTCTTGTTGATTGTCCATGTTTGGCACTGGTAGCAGAGTGTTGGAATGAAGATGGTGTTTATCAATTGTCTTTTGGTCTTCATGGTTATATCTGGATGTTTAAGCAGAGGTGATAGTTGGTATGTGACAGCATTTGCTTTCTGTCCTAACAACTGCGCAATACATAATTATGTGATCATATTGCAAAATTTGAATTGTTATTACAATACTCTGATGTTTGTTTTCTTCCTGTATTGTCCCCAGCGGAGTTCTGCCTTGAGCATCTGTTGTTGAAGAAACACCCCAGCTTGTTCTTTCACCCATTCCTGGAGTGTATCTTCCATTTTAATAACTACCAGACACACTCAGGTTGGTGTACCATCAGTAGGAGATGGTTTGTATTTTAACACTAACCAGAGCACAACTGTCCATTCAATCGTTTTATAATTATATGTTTAAGTGTCACATGTCAGTAGCATTCATGTAAGTTACTGTCATATAACTCCTCTTTAGTTTCAGGAGCCCTAATGTGGCCTGGGGGGGGGGGGGGGGAATAATAGACCCACTGCCCTGCCCAACAAGAATGTCTTAAGAGTCAACTTACAGGATTCCGTTGCCTAAGAGGCAAGGAACCCAGTCTGCATACAATTAAGCCAGATCTGTAAAACAGATGTGCATGCAAAATTCAAATACTGGGACAAGACAGAAGTCTGTCAGTGGATGAACATCCAAAACTTTCTGCCAGAGTTTACAACCAGTGAGTGTGAAGAAGACTAGTGTATAACTAAACTAGCATATAACTATAGTGTTCACTGAAATCAAATTTGTTGGACAAACAAGCACAGATAATGCAGCCTAGCTGTAAACCACAAAACAGCAACCTTTCAAGAGCAGTACAGAAAAGAGGGAAAGTATTATATGTCTGGCCTTTATGACCAGCACTTAACTATTTCTAGCATGTGTAACCTGATATTATTCATGTGCCTTTGTTAAAATGTTATGTATGTTTGTACATCTTGTATGAGAGATCCCTGACAACATACCTGTTTCCTACAAGGATTGTGTACTTCAACCATGTGGGGGTAGTGCATTTTTGAGCTGGGTGTTGTTATTACATCAGCTGTGATGACAGAGTTAGCCATTTATGAAAAAAGATTGTTATCTCTCTATTTCTGCTCTCTATGTTATATCTCCCTGTTTCTGTTCTCTCTTTTATCTTCTTTTTCCTCCACAATTCGTTATTGAAAAAACAAAAATACCTAAAATACCCATTAAGTAATTTTTTTTCCTCTTTTATTTAACATTAATAATTTTTTTCTTTCAATAGTGTACAACAAATTCAAGCAGACAGACAGAGAAAAGCAAAAATTCTCTCTTGCAGGGAAAGGAAATATGAGGTATTATTTATCCAGACAAACTTGTATCATTCATTGTTCCATGTTTTGCTGTTGAGGTATCATTTATCCAGACAAACTTGTATCATTCATTGTTCCATGTTTTGCTGTTGAGGTATCATTTATCCAGACAAACTTGTATCATTTATTGTTCCATATTTGCTATTGAGACTTTCATTTACCAGTCTTTGGGAAAACAATGATGATACTGTCTCCACATTGGATGTTGACCACAGGAGATATGTGTGTCCACTGCTGTTTTTTGAATTATGACATAGGCAGGCTCAAATCTCTTCCTTGGTGTGATTCTCATACAACAGTCTGAAAGCTACAAGAACAGTTTACCATATAACTATGCCAGATTTTTTTTAAAAAACAAGTGCTGTCTCCACAATGAGAGTCTACGATGTACCACTGTTGTCTTTAGGAATATATGTGTGTGGCCCCAATCTTTTCCATGGTGCGACTCTCATACCATTGTCCAAAAGCCACGATCATGCACTGAAAGGAACAAACACTGATACTTGAGGATTCTAAAATTATTAACCGCATTGGCTAGCCTCTAAGTCACGGAGCCCCACAAAGTATGTTATTCAGTCTATAATTATAGCATTGATTTATTCTCACATAAGTTCCTTATTAGATTTTCACTGTTGTCTGGCATCATCACACATTATCGTAGCTTCTGACCTAGTCTTATCTCATTAACTAAATGGTTAGCGTGGATGCTTGCTAAGCCCTGTTCCAATCCCTGGCTCTGGCAGGAGGTTCTCTTCCAGCCAGTTTGGCCACCAGATCTCTGGGCAGGTAATGTGAAAGGAATTAGTCACTACACCTCAGACTATGTGAAGCCTTGCACTTCAATCCCCACAATTCCCCCATGTGGAAACCAGTGCCCTGTTGTAGGGGGCTTCCCTAATAAGCATATAGTAAGCAGTGACTAATTATAGGTATTTACATCGAAGTCAGAGTGTATATGCATCAGCTGCGAGGAACCAACAGTCTGCATACAAATAAGTCAGATCTGTGAAAGGAATGAAACAAACCTCAAGAACAAGGCCAGAGTCCAAAAGCTGACAAATAGAACTCTTCCTGGGGGTTTACAGCTGAATGCTAACGCCGAACTCCCACCCAGTGACAGTAATAGAAATAAATAGTTAATCCTACCAGGGAGCCCTGTTAGCACACACATAAATAAACATTGTTTTTTTAAATAGGAAAGGGTAAATCCGTCAAATGTTGCTTACGTATCCTGTACAAGATGTTGCAGAACCAACTGAGGCATTTTTGTGTGTGCCTGTTTTTGATTTTATTGGACACTTTTAAATTCATTTGTTTGCCATTAATTTTGAATGGTTGGCTCTCCGTAGCATTGTCAAAATCAGTGCAAAGTGGTCTTCAGTCAGTAAAGAAAGCTTTAGTCAGTAAGGGAAAAATTAGTTTTGCATTCAAAGTATCTGTGATGGACCGAACCAGTGAGTTCATCCCTCATTACTAAGATTGATGTCAACACCTGATTGCCTTGAAAATATTTTCGGATATTGTTATCGAGTATTACAATCCTTGCTAACAAATAACAATTTATGTCAATAATATGTAAGTGTGACCTTGTTTTCTCCCAGCCGCAGGATGCAGTTATATTCCTTCATGTTGGAACACATGACAGATGAACAGAGATTTAAGATAACAGATAAAATCAACAAAGAGGTGAGTTGCTGCAGGATATTTCTAGGAATGTTATGCCATAACAAGTTATAACTTCATTTCAGTAAGTTAACAGAAAAATATTTATGAGGTTTACAATGAAATATCTCCAGCAAAGGGTTAGAGGAAAGAAATATTGACAATTTTAACAATTGAACATTGAGGAAAGGTGACTCGTAAACAGAATTTTCTCCCAGAAAATGAATTATTTTGGCCTTATTAAACGTCACAGTGGCTTGGAAGAAACATAAGTGGAGGGCATGGTATTAGGTGAGAGAGGCAGGGGCCAACCAGGACATAAGAGACACCTTGGGCTGGAATGTGTGTGAGGCGGGAGAGCTTGTGTGAGACTGGGTTTCTTTCAGGCAGGCTGTGATGAGAGGAGTGTTCTGTAAAGCCTACTACATGATGATGAGGGTTTGAGAAAAGAAGTCACTTCACAGAACTACAATTGAATACATACTTGTATCCTTTTGCCTGCTCTGAGTACCTTATATTTGGGTTGCAGATTTTAGCAGCTGTTGCTGATCGGATGATACCCTTGGATCACGCCGGCAGTGAGATCTTACACGATGCCCTGGCTATACTCAGCTGCAAGGTCAGTGACATCCACACCCCCTATGTTCCCGTTTTATTTTGCACTTGTATTTATGGATGTATGCATTCATTGAAGACAGTACTTTAGGTGCATTGTATGTATTTATTAAACAGTTATAAATGCATAGGGGTGAGACAGACGTACAATCAGACTATTGCTGGTATCATCAGAATTGGAACTGTGCGCTTGCTGCTGAAGATGGGCACAGAGAAATCATTGGAATGTAAATAGTGCTTTGACGTTTTTTTTTTTTTAATCATCTTAAATAAACATAATATATTTAACACATCTTACAGCACTATAGAGATTATTAACACATGTTTGCAGACATTTTCAGCATTGCACAGATAAAATACACACAAACACACACACACACACACACACACATATATATATATATATATATATATATATATATATATATATATATATATATATATTACAAATACCATCTGCATGTTGGACTTTAATTGTTTTACACTGTTGTTAATGGTACGTCCTATAAAGCTCATTATTCTCACTGGGGCACTGTTGCCTTAACACCTAGACATTTTCTAACCTTGTCACTCAAGCTGTCGTAATTCAAGAATTCTGTGGCTATTTTACAATTTGTTAATGTTCGTCTTCAGATTATTGTTCATGGATAAGGTTATTTCTATGGTGAATTGGTCAGTCCTCATGCTCTGAATTTTGTGGGGGTTGTTTTTTTTTTTAGGATTACATTGCCCATGAGTGCAAATTCTTGCAGAAATCCCTGGAGTTTGTTGCTGGATTTACAAAGTTCAGGCTTTGGGCAAGGCTCTCAGCAGGCAGGTAGCCACTCCTCAAAAACCAGACCAGATCATATTTTAATTTGATACAATAAAGTTGGTCTTTAAACCATAAAATACCATAGTGTTAAATTGTAAGCAATAAATGTGGTCTTCAAACCACTAAATGCCATGATATTAAATTTAATACAATAAAGTCGGTCTTCAAACCATGAAATACCGGGGTATTAAATTTTATACAATCAATTCAGTTTGGGGTTTGAACAACAGGTCAACATCATGGCACACCAGTGGTAACGCATTAGTGTTCAATTTTTTTTTTCAAACTCAAGTTTGAGTTCGAAGAAGCTCTGCACAGGCTCCGGAGAGGATCCTGAAGTACTTAGGCTAGATTTTTAACTCAGAACACTGTTAGGCTACTCTTTTTGATTTTCACCTGCCAAGGGATTTTTTTTATATGCACAACAATGCACACGGGCGTCTGATCTCACTACCCAGGGAATAGGGAAAATTACTAGAAGTCCAAGTCTACGTAAAAAAAATCCCGGCCTTTACCGGAAAGTGAACCCGGAACCTCTAGCTCTTGAGACGGACACCACGCAGCCCATAAACAAGTCAGTTTTCAGACCATAAAATATCAGGGTATTAAATTAGAGTTAATAAGGTTGGATGTCTCACTGTAAAATACTCTTTTCTTCACCACTTATCCCTTATTGATACATTCATATGCTTACTTTTTAATTAAGAGGTATAAACACATATATGTGTTGGCAACATATCTCATGTGTACATGTGTTTGAATGTATTGTACAGGAGATAAAGCTGTCCACGCTGAGAACTAAAGGTGTAGAAGATACAGGGGAGGAAGCCGAAGACATGGCTCAGATTGTGACTGCAACGGCAAAAAAGGTTCTCATCAGTCAAGTCGTCAAAAGAAATGTCATTGAAAATGTGGTACCTGTTGTTATTTCACTGAAGCACATGGTTAGTGTAGTTTTCTTTTACTGTAACATTTAATCTTTTTGTCAGTCATATTATCTAATATATTATTTTATGATTTTCTGGAGGTGAGAGGGCACCTAGTCTTCTCACCTTATATGTATATTTCTTATTCAGTCTTTGCTTTGTAAAGGTCAAAATGTTTGACTATTTTGTGAGCTGCTACTTGTGGAGGAACCAAACCCTGAATGTTGAATTAAAAATCGACATCACAGCACTCAAGACACTCCCATAAATGCTTCGTCCAGCAGCTAGTGAAGAGTTCCAATTCTAATGGTACCAGTAACTGTTTGATTGTATATCCGTCTCCCCCTTCCCTTAAGTGACGTCCAGATACCCTGGTAACTTCCCACAGCACCATTCTCCTCAGAACCCAATGATCTGTTTGTGCCCCCTCACTGTTCACTCGCTCCCAAAGGGCCATCACAACAACTAGCTTATAAACATCAATTCACCACCAAGTGGTGCTGAACTAGCCAGTCTTTCTGCCTGCTCCTTTCCCAACACACTGGCATTACCTAGAGAAAATATCCAAACGTCGCTAATTACCCGAGACCTCTGAAGTGATGCTTTGCCCCCTGCACAGAGCATGCCTGTCTCCACCTTTCTCAACATGCTCTCTGAATCAGTTACTATCACGACATGTGTGTACAGTTAATTCTCAAGCCAATGGAAGGCAACAGTGCCTTCACCTCCATTCTCAAACTAAACGTAATATTTTATGCCAGACTTTGTTGCACTAAGCGACGTCTATTCGCTCTTGCTATGAACCCCATGCAAACCTTTGGACCGCGTGCGGGCCTGTTGTTTGATTCATGCTTGGGTTTGTGGAAATGAGAGCTGATGTTCTCACTTCACAGGTACCTGTAGTTTGAGGTGGGCAGAATGGATTTATTTAATATGAACAATGAATTTTCTCAACTATGTGTGTTAAAGTGGCGGAATACAGTGTGAAACTTGCACAGTGACTGCATCGCACAGCTAACCCACTAGCAGTGGGACATTCAGCATTCCCGCTTGTTTGTTTCTGCTGGGTTTCATCAAGTATTGTTGGGCTTGACCTGAGAGCAGTACCATCTGTTTTTCACCATAAATTGTATTCCACAACACGTCAAGACCACTGTCATATTGTTTTAGAAAAATAATTGTGGCAGGAATTTTGCAGTTTTTTTTTTTTTTTTTTTTTTTGGTTAACAGACAAAAATGACAAAATGATTTTAAATGTGACAGCCACATTTTCTGGGGGTGTTTGGGAGAGAAATTGGCTTTAAAATGTTATGACAACTGGCAAATCTGCTGTGGGGATGGGTGAAGGGACGTAAACAATTAATAGCCTAAATGATGTAATTGGGATAAGAGCACAGACTTGATCTAAGGCTGGCAATTGATTTGGTGAACAAAGATCGCCCATGCATTCTTACATGGCACAGCATGGTGATTACAGAACTCCAGGAAAAGAAGATTGGGATGATGTAAGAACTGTTTGTTTAATGAAGTTGGTGAGAAGAGTCATTTTCTTCCAATTAGCTTGAGAAGAGCCGGTCTTCACTTCTAAAGGAGCTGATGGGCTACCTGAGAGAGCTGTTGAAAGATTACAAGAATGAGGTGAAAGGTCAGTTGAAACTCTTCTCTGCTATTGATACTTGTAACATTTTTATAGCAGATGGTTGTCTTTTTCTTTCTTTGTCCTTCTTCAAACTTTCAGTCTAGATCTGACCACTACTGTTAATAGGGCGCTATGATCAATAAAGTCATGTTAAAACTGTGAATTGTTTCAACATCTTTTTACATTCATTTAAGGAAGAACCAAAGAAAATGGTAAAACTGATAACAGATCCATTCCCAGACATCTGAGCAGACAAGAGAAGTAAACTTCATTACAGTGGGGTATGCAATAAAGTAAGGTGCTGAAGAACACAAGATGTGTAGAGGCATGATCGCCCATGCCAGTCAGCCAGACATTTGATGATGGTATATCTTTGTACCATTCTTATTATAACCAGACATGTATGGGGGTATGAATATGTGTGTATGTATGTTTCTATATGTAAAGGACCTGTTTTCACACCTTCAAGTGTATTAGGCATATAGGGCTAGACCTCTATTTTAAAGACCCAGGTGGCACTTGGTGAGTGATGTGATCAGCATTACCATCTTTGCTCCTAGGACTTTGCCTACACCTTGGCTGCTCCCATGCCTTTATGTGTATGTGTGTTTATTTACGAGAGGAAGTCAATAAGTCAGTCACAAATGGTTGTTTAAAACAAAACGATAACACCTTGAAAACCTTTTTTTTTTTTTTTAATTTTTTTTTTTTTTATTACAGATGCACTGTTCCTTCATTTTTAAACCTTATTTCCACCAACATTGATGCACTTGTCCCATCGTTTTATTAGTCCTCCAAACCTGCTGCATAGAACTGTGCTTTGTTATCTATACCACATTTTCACTTTACATTTAACTACTGCGTCATTCGCAAAACATCTTTCGCCAAGATGGGTTTTCAGTCCACTGCTTTACGGGATTAACATTTGTCAGTATAAACAGGATGCATTTTCTTATAAATGTTTTTTGCAGGCAGCCCTTGGCCCCCCCCCCCTTCCACAGCGCGTTGTTCTTTGAGGGTACACTCCAGAAGTAACCTGCCTAAAATGGGTACCAGGATGGGCTGTCCTGGGAAAGTAAAGACAGCCGGCGTAATGCTAACCACATTACCCACAGAGTGCTGATGGTCTGTAAAAATATGGGACGCTCTGCCTATATGCCCAATGCTCCGAAAGGCGTGAAAAGGGATCTTTACTTTTTTTTACTTACACTCCAGAAGTAGAGTCGTCATTTTGTTTCTTTGTTGCATACAACATTTAGCACCACCTAACAAACGGAGACATAAGGTTCAATGTTGCTGTCATCTAATGTCACCTTCAGAAACCACCAACTACATTTTCCTGCCTTTCCTTAACCATTTGTGACTTACTCTTGACTTCTCATAAATATTCATGTATTCATATTCATGAGTATACATTTATGTATACTTTGATATATGTGTGGCCTTTTATCAGCAAGCTAATGATGATATTTGAAATGTTCTACTTGCACTCATAGATATTCTAGCTGCTGACAGACAACTGGCACAAGAAATTGAATTTGATCTCCGCAAGTTTGAAAGTCAGGAAGCAGAACAGACTGGAAGTAAACACAGGGTAAGCCTCATTATCAGTATCCTTCTGTGGGCCCATTTATAAGTCACATAGGGCTTGCAGTTGGTTTCTCCTTGTTGTTCTACCTTTGGCTTTTCTCGTGAACTTCGACCTCAGGGTCTCTCGTGGCAGACCTATTCCTCAACCTCTGTGTCTCATTTCACTGCCTGTTTGGTGATTTTTAACCCCTTCTCTTGATGTGCCCAGTATATTAACATCTTCTTTGTCTCATCACTGTTTATACCAGACAGTTCTCTGATTTCTTTGACTTTCTTGCATCCCATTTAGGTAAGCATCATGTTGTGATGTCTGCTAGGCAGACACATTGAGAGTTTGGAACTGTCCAGCAACTTAATATATCAACTGTAACCAGGGCAGGCTGTATTTCCTAAACGATGTTTGATACTCTTGTTTAGTCCTTTATTTTACACCTCTCTCTCTTCGCTCAGCTAATCTTCAGCAGTTCTGTTGCCGTACTATTTTAATGCTTGATCGCTAAATTAAAGGTTTCATACGGATCAAAATGTCAGCGTAATGAGTGCTAGTTATATTTGGCCACCATAAAAATGGGGCCACCTTGTGCAGCTGCACATGCTTTTATGGCCATGATTTAACTGGATAATTTTAATTATAACCGCTCCTTCGATATGTTATGTTGGTTTTTGACCACTACAGGAATGATGTTTTCATAGTCAACATAATCATATCCCCCTTTTTTTTTTTAAATACAAACTAGTCCTATGTAGATTTTTGAAATTATATTTACATTCAGCAGTTAAGTAAAGTTTTTTTTTTAAATAAATCAGCTGGCCTTGCATGTCTCAGCTGAAGGAACAGGCTGTGTTTTGTTATATTTTGCTGCACCAGGAAGGGTTAGAACTTTGTTTTGCAAGTTTACAGAACATTGAAATAGGTGTAGAACAGCTGCTGTCAGCTCTTGTGTGGCTTCCTGATTGTTGTTCTATTTGTTTGAGTTTAAGAAGTTAGTGGCATTGAGTAACTTGTAGAAAGTTGAATATTTGTTCTTTCTTGTCCTAGAGTGGAACACCAGTCTCTTTCAACGCTGCAACTCCACCTGTAAGTCGGCCATCAAGTAAGCAGCCTAGCCAAGCTGGCAGTCCTGTTCTGCTGCAGAATTCAGTTCTAAGAGATGCAAGTGCGGCGCTGAACATTGACGCATGCGGTGGCAAAGAGGCTGCATCGAGAAGCTCAAGTCCTGGCCTTGCCACTCCCACAACACGGTAGGTATTCTTTCTCTGGAAGAAATCTACTATTTGCCTGTCTTTATTACAAATTGCAACTGAATTGGCAAATAATTTGAATTCAGCTTAATATACGCACAAGAATTATCTGACAAGTATCCATAGTATTGTGTGTGGAAGTTAACAATATAAAAATTTTTTTTAAACTATAATTTTTACAATAAAGTCTCCCTGTTCCAGCAACCTTGATTTAAGGAAGTTCAGACTGAAATAGATCTATTGGTTAAGCAGTTTATTTAGACTAAACAGATGGTCTTTATGATGGTTATTTTTGAGGTTTGAACAACAAATCAATATCATGGCACACTGGTAGTAACCCATAAGTGCTCTGTTCTTCTTCAAACTCAAGTCTGAGTCCAAAGAAGCTCAGCACTGTGCACATGCTCTCTAGCACCGGCAAAGATCCTGAAATACTTTAGGTAGATTTTTAACTCCCAAACCTTGCCCGGGCAGCACTGTTAGGCTACTCTTTTCAATTTCCAACTGACAAGAGATTTTTTTTGCGTGCACTGCAATGAACAAGGGCATCTGATCTCACTACCCAGAGACCAAAGGGAATTACTAGAAGTCCAAGAGAAAAATCCCAGCTATTACCGGGGATTCTCTTCAGTAGAACAATCTGTACTGCAGTGGATTCCAGGTCACTGTGGCCTGGAAGGCAATGAAATAGCGGACAGATTGGCCAGAAGCGGCAGTGACATGGTACAACCAAATAGCGACTTAACCCACCAAGAGATGAAAACACTAATACAATCTAGTATCCAAGAAAGGTGGCTGGATACCCACACCAGATTTTCTCCCCAAGACTCACTTCATCGCCTCTCTAGAGAGGGACAGTCTATTATATTCAGACTAAGGACAGGGCACAACAGATTTCGTCAACATATGTTCAAATTTTTCGGTGTTGGAAATACGGAGACGTGTCCCTGCAGCTTGGCACCCGAAAATGCTGAGCATGTGCTCCAACACTGTCAACTGTATGCTGACAACAGAGACGCAATCTGGCCTGTTCCAACCACACTGAAGACAAAACTGTATGGTACACGAGAGGATATGGATTGCACGATAGCTTTCATAAAGGTTACCGGCCTCCTGAAATAAGTTTTCTGACAGAAGGATCGAAGAAGAAGAAAAGAACCGGGGATTGAACCCGGAACCTCTAGCACTCAAGGCGGACACCATGCCTCGAGACCACGCAGCCCCTATCATGATGGTTATGAAATAACACAATGGGTATTAACATAACACTCAGCATTAAAGAGAATACATGCTCATCGTCTGAGACAAAATTGTACCCCACCAGGACATCGCACAAGCGATAAACATTCGATGACACAAAGTGCTACAATGCGGATAAGGATCACCCGTGGAGAAGTACCAGAGACCCCTTTAAGCCATTAGGTCATATCTATGGCTAGGCTATATTTAGAGCCCCCCTGCAGAAGCCAGGGTGGGGCTTCAAAAAACAAAAAAAAATGTCACCCCACATGGGGATGACTTTTGTGGTATACATATGTTTGTACTGGACTTCCGGTGTAAATAGCCACAATGGCGGTACGTTTTTTCGTCCGTTGAGGCGAATGGCGCAAATTAGCTATTTTCGCTCACGTATAATGTGAAAGTTTCATCGGAATGGGGTCTGAACCGTGCAATGGAGTACATGCACGTGAGTTTAGACTTCCCTCAGGGTGTATTCGACGTCCGATGGCGACTATTTACCAATTCAAAACAACCCGTAGACGGACAAGGAGAACGCGAACAGGCAAGCACGGTGGCGCCTGCAGGAAGCGGCTGAAATGTGAGAGACTCAGTTTAAAGTATGTTCGTGTTCTCTACTGGAACTGCGCTTCGTTCAGTCAACGCCGACCCATTTTTGAGAAGCTCCTCTACAGCAACGACATTGTTGTCCTACAGGAAACACACCTCGGTGACGAGATCATTAAAATTGCGGGCTTCCAATCCTTCTACAATAGACGGCACCTCGGACAGCTCATTCTTGTTCGTGACCACATACCGGTGTCTGAGGTGGACATGTCTAAGTGGAATAATGACGACCTACAAGTACACGCAGTCAGAGTGATGGGCCCGGCCCAGTTTGTGATTGTCAATGTGTACGCCTGCAATGGAAAGATGGATACAGCGAAATGGCAGAGTTTGCTCCAGACGGAGGAAAAGAAAGTCCTTTACTGCGGAGATTTCAACGCCAGAGGACACCAGTGGGGCAATGTAATCACTAATAAACAGGGGGAAGATCTGGAGGATGCCCTAGTGTCTGCCAATCTAGTATGCTTGAACGACGGAAAGGTTACCCGAATGGCAACTCGACAAGGGGATTCTGACAGCGTAATTGACCTGGCCCTAGTGTCTCCCTCCATTGCATCAGGATGCAGGTGGAGCACACTGGGATACCACGACAGTGATCACTTTCCTTGCGTCGTCCTGGTAGAGAAGAGCAACAACAAAGGTCATGTAATCAATGTGCCTGCTTTTATATATGACCGCACAGGGCAAGATGCCATTAGCAAAATCCGACGACGTAAAACAAGAGCAGATCGCAGACGGCGGGAGAGATGGGCCCAGCCACCATGGTGGAATGAAGTAGTCAACATGGCGTGGCTAGAAAAAAGGAAAGCTGTCAAGGCATGGCAAAAGGCAAGGAAAATTGATCCGTCACTTTCCGAACGCCTGATCAGTCTGAAAGATGAGGTCAACAAGCAGACAGTGGCTTTCAAGTTAATTGCGAAGGAAGCTAAGACAGCGAAATGGAACGAATTCTGCAAGAGCGTTTGCTCCGAGGGATCTCTTGTGACATTCTGGCGCCTTCAACGGAGCATGCACGGTGCCGCACGACCAAGGGGTATCCCTGATTTTCAGGGTACAGACCTGATATGGCAGAGAACTGATGCTGATAAAGGAAAAACCCTTCTGGCGCGCTACTTGGAGCAAACTGACCAAAAAGACGAAGCTACAAGAATAGGGGTTAAGATGAAACTGTCGATGCTGTGCGAGAACACTGTGCTAGGCACTGATCTCACAATCACTGCAGATATCTTAAGAACTTGCCTCAAGAAATCGCGCAGCACTGCTCCAGGCCCTGACGGCATCCGATACAACGACATGCTGATGATGTCGAATGCTGATTTGGAAAGCGTGGCAAAGGAATTCAATATCAGCATCCAGAGTGGCCAGATACAAGAGGAATGGCTCCATAGTTATTTGTTCCCACTACCAAAGCCTAATAAAGACCACTCGAAGATCTGCGGCTACAGAATCATCTCGATGCAGAATACTGTTGGCAAACTTTTGGAAAAAATTGTCGCACAAAGATTGACCACCTACTTGGAACTACATGATAAGTTCCCACCAACACTTGGAGGGTACAGGTTAAATAAAGAGACATGGTTCAATGCTGCAGTTTTCGCCTACGATGTGTACGAGGGATTTCAGATTAAAGAAGAGACATGTGCGGCAGTGTTGGACTTAGAAGATGCCTACAATAAAGTACCATACGATTATTTAATGCAATTACTGCTTAAACTAGAAGTTAATCCTATTCTGATCCGCTGGATTGCTGCGGTCCTGTTCCAGAGAAAGATTGTACTAAGATGTGGTAGCTGGTCCTCAGAACCGCAAACGATATGTCCAGGCTTGCCACAGGGATCACCGCTATCACCAGTCTTATTCAACGTTTATACGGTGATGATCACTGAGCAGCAGTTGACTGGAAAGGGGAGGACTTTGTCATTTGCTGATGACATTTTGATTTATCGACGAGGGCGTGATAGACAGGAGATCGCCAGCACTATGCACAAAGAACTCGATCGAATTGCCGCCTGGTGTGATGGTTCCAATGCCTATGTCAATCCTTCGAAGGCATCAGTGTCATGGTTCTCTTTGAACAATCACATTGTCAAGTCGGACCTACCAGAAGTGAAAATGCGTGATAATGTATTGATCAGAACCAACGTTATGACGTTTCTCGGGGTGAGGTTCGATCGCAGCTTGTCATTCAGGGAACACGTTGACCATGTGATAACAAAAGCACGCAAAGGTCTATCTGCAATCTGCAATGAGGATTATGGCTGCTTCCAACATTGAGCAAAGACTACTAATACTTCTATTCTACGGTCTGGTCCTTTCCCCCATTGAATACGCTCTGGCCCTCCTCACTGTCAGTGCCACCCAGATTGAACGACTCGAAAAGGTGCAAAATGAAGCCATGCGCATTATTTTGGGATGTACTAGAGACACATCCTGTGGAGCAATGAGGTATCTACTTGACTTTCCAACAATGAACCAAAGGATCAGGATGTGGAGGGCTCGGGCATATCTCAAAATATGTGCTGATAAGAAACACCCACTGCATCAAGCGCTTTTTAGTGAAAAGGGCGACAGACTGAAGAGGGGGAAATCGTGGCTAGGTCGGGCAGAAGATGTTATTAGGCAAATATGCAGCCTAACCGACATCATACCTGGTGCAGAATGGATACCTGTGCCTCAGGCGTTTATTTGTACATTTTCCTGTATTGCCACACTCAACAGTCGATGTAGAGAAGAGAATCCTGTTGCTGTTAATGCAGAGGTCAACGCTCTCATCAGTGAAAATTCAGACGAAGCAGATGCAATAATCTATACAGACGGATCCGTTATACGCCAAAGAAGAAGCGCATGGGCATTTACAGCACGCTCAGCGGGCAGAACAGTCAAAGAAGCCAACGGCGCCTTCTCCATGACAACCAGCAGCATGACGATGGAGGTGATGGCAGTGACACAAGCGCTTGCCTGGCTTGAAACACAAAAATACACCCGCGTGTGTATACTCAGTGATTCAATGAGTATGATCCGGAGGGTTCAGGCAGGTTCAGTGCGAAGGCAATGGCTTGAATCATTACAGAAGTCCACTGTCCGTGGAGTCACCTTTTTTTTTGTTCCGGGACACGCAGGCGTCGATGGAAATGAAAGAGCTGACAGGTTGGCTG